GTAAAGGTGAAGCTGATCTACAAGAGCTGGTATGTGTCTCCTCCCAGTGCAGGAGGCTAGGAACAGCTGGTGGATGCGTTTCTCTCCCTCTCCAGCTGTGTTCTTCATTCTCCCCAGCAAACTCTATCCCTTATTCACCTGCCAGACTCTCCAGATTCACTCTGAGAGCAGCAGATTTCCTTCCCTTTCCCAGTCTCTCCCTCTCAAGGAAGAGGGAAGGGTTCCTGCCTGACTCAGCATCTCTGATGGAGGCTGTTTTTCTCGGTCTGATGTTTCTCTTTTCCCTAGCGTGTGCTGCTCTCCCCAGACCATGACTGTTGCCCAGACATTTGAATCTGATCCTGGTTTTAGCCATTGTTCTCCTGGGTGAAATGTTTTTAGTGGATTCTGTTACCCTGCACGAAGAATATAAAGGAACCTGTCAGCTCTTTTATCCCCTTGGACTCATGTCAGCCTTAGGAGGAGTAGATTAGGGCATTTAAAATATTTAGCAGAGCTACCATGTGAAGCCAAGTTTCCCCTGTGTCCATATGCTGCTTTGTTTCTGCCTTTAGGTCCACTTCATCATTGTGAGCTTGAATGGACCTTCACTGTCCTCAGCAGAGCTGGGGCTTGCTGTTTGGTGGTCCCAGCCTGCAGGGGAGGTGGTTGGCGGAGGTAGTAAAATCTCGGGGCAAGTGGCTATGCTGGAAGTGGTTTTTAAACTTGCAAAAGTTTTCACAGCAGAGGGATCATCTAACTCGTGCCCACACCTCCAAAAACAGGGAGAGACTTTTCATCTGAGCCTATGCCCTTCCCATTCAGCTGCTGCTCAGTACCAGCTGCTCAGAAGCTTTGGAAAACACTCGAGTTGGAGCAGTAACAGTGCGATGCGGCTTTAACCTTCTTTTTTTTTTTTTGTCTTTTTTTTAATCCCTTCCCTGCGTAGATTAAGACCTTCATCCATTCAGGAAAAAATGGCAAACAGATCGGCTCCACTGGAAGCCTGAACGTGGATGGGAAAGCTCGCTATATCAGGCTGAACCTGGACTCCTCCTACTTCCTTTTCTATACAGGTACAGTTCTGTTTGTGAATTCAGTCTGAAAGAGTGATGACAGCTGTGAAATCAGGATTATTAAACAGTTACCTGAAAGAGTGGTTTGCACTCTTAAAAGCTGTGTCGTGCTTTCATCTAGCGAAAGAGCTATTCAAGGCCAAGAGAAAGGGGGGCTTCTGCTTAAACTAAGGTTTGTTACGTACTGTAGTAATTTTATTTGAAAAATGTTGAGAATGTAAAGTTCAAGCAGTCATTTATAGCAAATGATTACCATGGAACACTTGGATTATGATCAGATAAGAGCATTCAAAAGCAGGCTTGAGTCTCAAAATACCACTACAATTCTATGATGCAAGCCCTAAAAATATAGTTGATCTGCCAGATCTGGAAAATCATAGAGTTCAGAGCAAGGGCAGGATAACTTATCTCCCTCATTCTTGCCTTTTTTTGCACAGAAAGCTCTTTCTATGCATATTCCCTGAAAGATCTCTACAGTGCAGCAACTGGGATGGACATTAAGCTTCCCGGCTTTGGGCAAGACCCTCAGTGGGAGAAGAACATTGACCACACCACACACCGCTTATCCCTTCTCAGGTGTGAGATTATGTCTTGGTTGCTGGTGGATTGGAGGGTGCTGCTGTTCCTGCCAGGATGGCCTCTTGTGGCTGTATTCTTTCCTGGCTACGTGGCTTTTGGACTAGGAGCACATCCAAAGCTCAAGGAGAGGGCTTGGTGTTGATCGCCTGGCTAAGGTTTCACAGGAGAGGAGGGAAAGCAGGCTGGGGTTTCCTATTTGCATTTGCTGTGCAGGGAAAAAAACCCCACAAAATCCCACAATAAAACCATCCACAGTCTAGAAAGCGTAATCATTTCTCTGTCCTTGTTCAGCTCTGGAGACATTCGCTACCTGGCAAAAATTCCTGGGCGATCACGGGAGAACATCTTGGTTGTAAACTCAGAGATGGCTACGCTGGTCAATGCACAAAATCTTCAGACTTTGTGGACCCTCAACGTGTCCCGTGTTGTGAGGTAGCGTTACCGATGTGGGTTGGATGAGGCATTTCCAGGCTCCCAGCAGCAGCGGTATCCCAGCAGATGCTATTTTTTTAATCCATTTGAAACACCATAGCCTGCTCTGCGGTGATATCTGGATCGTGCTTATTGTATTATGTGTCCTCTGCTAGCAAATGCTAGGTGCCACTTCAAAACAGAGGAGCCCAAAGCTTTGATTCTTCATTCTGTGCCTGCTGCAATACGACTATCTTAGGGCTGGGCTCAGTGTCGGGAGTGGTACCAGACTGCAGTCGAGTCTCTGACCGGGAGTGCTGCTGGGAGGATAGAGGCCGCTCTGAAAGGACAAGGTATGCCCAAGCCATCAGGGTGTGTTCTGATTTGTCTGTTCTCTTTCTCTCCCTTAGTGAGCCACTGCTTGGTTACTACAAACCTGATGTTCCTGGCATCGTCCTCGAGAGTGAAATTGGACCCAACAGAAAGAAGGTTTGAACGCTTTTCCTTTTAACTTCCCTTTTCTCTACATGTCTCAGCTCAAACAGGCATTGAGTCAAGGGCAGCTGGTGGGATGTGTTCCCTCTGACTGCTTTTAGGAAGCTTTAGGCCGGGAAAGGATCTCTTTCAACAGGTTACTGAAGACAGCTCAGGCACTTTAATTCTCTTCTTAGCAAGAGGCTTCAATGACAGAGCTTTGAGCTCCTTGAAATAGCTGCAAAACTTGTGACTTTAATGTGGCCCGCCCCAGGTCTCCACAGCTCTGTGATGCTCAGCTTCAACTATTTCCTCATCTTCCCATGCGTCAGATACTTGTTCCTATAGACGGTGTGGGGTAGAGACAGCTGACTTGACTTCTCTCTCACAGCTTATTAGAGCTCTTTGGTATGGGTTCCTTTTCTTTCTTCCCTGCTAGGTTATGATTGTTGAGAGTGGATCTGGAGCAGTCCAGTGGGACCTGAAGCTGAGCTCAAGAGCGGAGAGCCCTGGGCCAGCCACGCTTTCTACTGCTGATCACCGGTCTACCTTCCTCATCTGGGGCGAATACCAGGCGGCAGGAAACGAAACGGTGAGTAGTGCTGCTGAACGGTTGCTGTTCTCCAGACTTTGGGCCAGAATTGGGTGGAACTACCCTCTCTTCCCAGCGTGCACACTCGCATCTGTCTGTGCCACTGACGCTGCGGCCTCCCGCACTGGCTACGGGGGCTGGTCTGTACTGGGTCCTCGCAATCGCCATAGCAATGTCCCTGCTAGCAGCTGGTGGTGGCACCAGCAGCTTTTGTCATCGTCAGCCTGGCTACATAGAGAAAGGGACTTAGTGGCTCTACGGACACCGTCACTGGACTGCCCCGAGCCCTGCCTTGCTGTGGTACTGCAGATGAGGCGAGAGGCTGCTGCCTCGGTACCTCTGAAGTTGCTGCTGTTTGGCCTGGAGCCTCCCGCAGCAGTACTGCAGGCAGCGATCTCCCTTGGCCACGTGAATATCCTCTCTCTGTGCCAAGGCAGTCTCTGGAACCTCGATGCGCAGCTCAGCTGCGTAACGGAGCCCTCTGGGGCAGTCGCTGGCCGCAGTAGTGACAGGTTGTGTCTCGGAGGATGCCCGAGCACCAGCTGAGCGTCCTGTGCTTTCCTCGCTAACTCTACCAGCCCTGAGGCAGAAATCTGTCTCCTGCCTGTAGCAGACAGGCCTGTTGTTTGCAGGGAGCTTGGTGTGGGGAGGAGAGCGCCAAGCGGTAAGCAAAACCCCAACACTAGTGCTAGTGGCATCAGACAGGATGCGTTGAGCAGACACGGACAAGTATCTGGCTGGATGTGTTCTGTCGAGCATGAGTAATGGCTGAGCCCGGTGCTGGTGCTGTCTGTGGGGTAACGTGTGGGTCCGTGTCCTGATAGTGCCCTGTTGGTTCCAGAGATCCAGGACTCCTCTGCAGAAGCTGTATCTTTTCCATCCTTCCTACACTAATGTCCTGTTGGAGCTCCGCAATAGCACGGACCAAATAATTGCATTCAATGGTAAGTCCTCTCCTTCCAGCCCTCCAGTGAGGAGGTGCAGGAGGACACCTGGTACCTTCTGGTACCTCCTGGACTCCCTGGGTGCGCGGTGCTGGGTCTGGTGGCCGGTCTGAACACGGAGACTTTAGGCTGGGCTTTTGCCTCCGCTCTGCATTACAGCCACGCTGTTTGAGCGGAGCCGTCATGCCTGCTACGTGCTGCTGAGGGGGCCTCAACCCAGCGAGGAGCCGGGGTCGGTGTCTCTGATGAAGCGTAAGCTGAAGGAGGATGTCTCCGAGAGCAGGGTGATCTGGCTGAGCCAGGTGGCTGTGGACAGCGAGCAGTACGTCCGGGACCGCCTCTACAGGATGCGATTCCACAGCCGAGCGTGAGCTTGCCGAGGGAAGGGGAGAGGCTGCCCTGGCCCAGGCGTCTCCAGGTTGCCTCTCCTCTGCAGCCGTGCTCTTAGCAAACCCAGATCACAAATTCAAACGGGAAGCTGCCTTTCTCGATCAGCAAACCAAAGCGTGGCCGGCAGGGTAGCACCCCCAGTGTCTGGGGGACACCCAGGCTGTGGGGGCAGCTGCCAGTGCATCTGTCCTCAGAGCTGATGGGACTTCAGTGCTTGGCCGCCACTGAAGTGTTGTCAGCTCGGGGAAGAGGGCTTTCCCCTCCGTCCTTCTGTGCCCGCAGAACTGCGCTGACTCAGCCTGCGTCTGGAGGAAAACACGTGGTTGCTGGGGATGCCGGAGTTGACTATTTCTTGGGTGCTTGCGTGAGAAGCGGAGCTTCAATGTGTGGTATTAGATTTCCTTTCTGAGTCAGCTCTCCTGGCTGCGGAGAGGTGTTTGGCTGCAGGTTGATTTGCAATCGCCCTCTCCTGGATTTGGGTTCTTGCTTCACTGGTTGTGGGGTGTGCGTAGTGATAGACCTCAGCCGATGATGCGGCGAGGTGTTGCCTGGGGCAGCAGAACGCAGGTTAAACTGTTATTCTACTTAGAAAATGACCTTTTCTCCTAAAAACAGCCCCATGTGCCCCGCTCTGCAGTCAAAAGCCTGTGTCTGTCTCCTCTGCTGCTTCCTTTCCAGCCTGGCTGTGCAGCATCAGTGACACAGAAAGGAAGCTGGTCTCCTCCCTCATTTATGCATCAATGTTCCTCCCTGTCCCCAATCTGATTATAGGTGATACAAAAACCACCCTGAATCCAGGCTGGCTGGTCCCTGCCGGTACAGACGCCACCTCTCCTACTGGTTTTGAGGTGCCAGGGGATCCAGGACATTTCTTCAGAGTAGAATTGCACTTTAACCTTCCCTGGGAGCTGGCCTTGCCGCTCTGGGGAGCCCCGTACCCGAGTGGCAATGCCAGCTCCCCTGCAAATACTCTTTCAGTCTTGCAGCTGCTGAGGAACCTTCTCCGAGCACTGTCCCCTCTGCCAGGAGGTGGGCAGGCTGCAGGATGGGCACAAGCCGCTCGGGGGGGAAACGGCACAAGCTGTCCCTGCGGCACAGCTCCGGAGAGAGCTCTGTGTCCCCTCCCCGCCCTCGGAATTCAAGTGGTGCTGGGTGAGATCTTCAGCTGCTGTTCTGTTCTCCCTGTCCAGCCTGGCAGCCCGAGGGAATGGGACAGGTTGCTGTGTGAAGATGATGTCTCCCCTGGAGACTAACGTAGCGTGGTGCCTGTGCTCTGCCCTGCTCCTGGGTGGGCACCAGCGCGGACTGTAGAAACGAGGTGCAAAGCCTGGAAAACAGTTTGGATCGGTTGCTCGGTGCGGAAAGCTGCGGTCCCCACACCAGCCGCACTGACACGAACCCTGGCCGTATGCTGCTGGGCGTCCATCTGACCGGTGAGAGGAAGGTGGGCAGAAAACACACCCCCTAAAAATAATCTCCCTCGAGTTCTGCGGTGCTGGAGGGGGTTTGGCCATTGCCTCCCACCCTTGCCTAGTCTCAGATCAGGGTGCTGTGTGTAGAAATACTGTAGGGTGAGAAACCGGGTTGTGTAGCGTCGAGCATCGCTTTTCTTGTGGCAGCCGCTGAACTTTAACCTGCTGCAGGGAAGCTCCTGGCTCCGGCTGCTGGTGTCGCCCAGGCTCATGCCCACAGCTTCAGCTGTCCCAATTTTGCAGCAAAATGAGCTGCAGCATCAGCGGTCTGCCTGGATGCTTACCTTCTGCTTCCACCTGGCCCGGTGGTTGCCTGAAGGGTGCCCTGGCTCCCTCTGCCCCCTCACCCGTAGCCCAAGCTGTCAAGGGAGCCGTGTAGATGAGTGCTGCTGGCAGAGCCCAGCCCTGCGGCATCCAGGCTGCACAGGAAGCCGGGGATGCTCCTTGGAGAGCACTCCACAACCCTCAGAGCACCCTGGGCTCAAAATCGTGGGTTTCCCTCTGTTACTCTCTTGCCAAGCTGTTTTCTGAGGGAGTCTGGGGGTGCAGGGAGGCTCCCCTGCTGTGTGCCCTGGCTTAGGCTGGGGCAGAGCCGGGAGCTGGGCAGTGGGAGCCCCAGGCTTGCATGCTAGTCTGACCTGTGCGTCGGATGTGGA